CAGCCGGCCATGGCCACGCACCCCACTCCTTGTGCTGGTGGCTGCCCCAGCGCCAGGCCATTTGAAATGTTATCCTGAATAACAGGGATGTCAGGCAAATTGTGAAGCTATGCTTGGCCCGGGGCTTATCTCCACTCAGCTGGGCACCATTTGGGTGCTCAGGGCTGCTGGTGGTACAGGAGTGGGGCAGAGCAGGCAGAGAGGCTCTTACCCGCAGCAAGGGAGCCGAGGTGAGGAGCAAGTCCCAGGCAAAACCACCCTCCCTGGTGCTTTGCTCCTGACCACACCTTGTTGCTAGAGCTACCTCTGAACATGTCTACCAAGCTGCAGGGGTGACTACCATGGCTGGCACTTGCGCAGTTACCATGCTCCTTGATCTAAAAATACAGTTAAAGTTTTACTCTTGAGATACATTGTAAAAACACAATTTTTAAGGGCTTTTTCACAATAGGGAAACAGTTCCCGGCGAGCTGTAATTCAGTTCCTGCTCCAAGGGGGGCCGGGGAGCGGTGGTGCCTGCGGGTGGCACTCACAGGTGAGCTGGAAGGGGAGGCGGGAGCTCAGCTGTGCCAAAGGCGGTGGCTTCGGCGCCAGCGCTGGACAGAAACCAAACACGGATATTTATTTATAAATCACCGTGCTTTGCAGGCAAATTACTTCTCCTTAGCTCAGAGGAAACAAAGTACCCAGGAGGGGAAGAAAATCTAACTTTTGGGAGGTTATCGTGGTTTCATCCCTGAACATCTGCCAGCCCCAGTGTCAGCGTGAGGCAACAAATACATGGCACGAATCCGGCGAGTATAAAAGATGTGTCATTGCAAGAAGGAGTAGGAGGAAAATAGAGCAAGTTGACAGCTCACATCCTGTGCCATAATCCTAGAAATTGTTAATATTTACAAAATTAACAACTAATATAAGCGATGACAATCTCACTCCTCCTGGTTGTCATGAGGATATTAACAGTTACCACCCTCTCCAAACTGGAAATATTAGCCATCTCCGGAGCTCCTGCTGCTCAGCACGCGTGGGGACGGCACAGACTCGCCCTCCCAGCTCTCGTACCAGCACCAAGCCGTGAGGCAGCGCCCATCACCCAAGCATTGCTGGGGCTGGAAATGCCTCCTGACCTCACGCTGCTCCCTGGGAGCTAGCAGCGGGTCTGGCAGAGCAGGAGGCAGGTTTCTCCCTCTCCCTGGCTCCTCAAGGGGCCCAGCACCCAGCCTTGCTCACTGCAGCGCAGTGGGGAGAGCCCGGAGGAGGAGGATGGGGAGGATACATGGTGCCAGAGAGAGGAGAAGCGAGGGCCGTGCTGGCTCGGATCGCACCTCCGGACAAGCTGCCACTTCAGGAGAAATGCCCATGCTGCGGGTGCGATTTGCCAGCTGTAAGGCTGGCAGCTAATTGATGAACAGATGCTACAGTGTCATTTCCTTAATAGGAAAGACCTGGCTAAAACCAAAATAAAGATGCTTGAATACCAGCAACTGCATGGGAAACACATTTCCAGACTACCAATCATAAAAAGGTGAAACTTTAGAATCACAGTGTTGTTGCCCACATTTTTTTAAAAAATAAGAAAAATAACAGCAGTGCCCAAGTTCTTAGAGCTGAGATTATTTTGTTTGTGGTTGGTTTTGTTCTTTTTTTTTAATCTGTTATCTGGCCATCAGGAGGGCTGCAGGAGGCAATACAGGGTTAACAGACACTCTTAAGTACAAGAAAACTGTGGATGGTATCTGCACATGTGGGATTTCTGGCTTAATTTTGCCCTATCTTTAGCAAGGAGCATTAATTCCCCAGGCCACTCTTTGCACAGGCACAGCATATCAGTCTTATGGTAATTTTAAAAAGTTTTCTTTGTCAAGATGCATTGTATGCAAAAAAATCGCTAAACTCTTTCCAGTTCACCGTATGCAAAATCAAAACAGAGAATTACCTGCATCATTGTTTTCAAAGAGCTCCCAGGTGCTGGAAAGCTGTAAGAAACAAATTTCCTTCTCACAGGAATAATTTTCTCCCCTTGAAGTGGCACGTTGTTGGCTGTATGAGAGGTTGGCACAAAGAGGCAACTTGACCGAGTGACCATGAAAGAATGGATGGCAAGAAAGTCCTTTTCAAGGCTCCCTCAGATTAGGGATCTCATCGTCAACTGGGCCAGTGAAACAATATTGACCAGAGGAGCAAAGAGCTGCCTTTACAGAGCGCTGTGCTCCAGGTAGCACAACACAATTGCTCACCTTGGGGCAGGACCCAAGGACTCACTGGAAGTGGCCTCAGTTTGATGGATCCTCTGGAGAAATGACCACAGGGACCATCAGAGGGACCATTGTGAGCTGTGATGCTCATTAATTTGTTCACCACAGTAGGGCACAGCAGGTCCTTTCCTTGAAGTACAGTGGTGAAATACATGTGACCCAGTGAAATGAAACAAGTTGTTTCTACCTATTACAAAAGCAATGACTCTAAAGAACCGATACTTAAAATCATCAAATTCACATTAAAACTGTTGTGTAGTTTGCCCTAAAAAGCTGGTACCTTTTCAGAAACACTAAAACATTAGCATGTTACATCCCAGATGGTTTGCTTTTCTTCATCTTTTATTCTGCCCTGAGCCCCTGAAGAGCACTTCTTAGACCCCCATTTTGTTTTCTGTTTGTAAAGCTTTATACATTTCAGTTTTTCATCGTCTTCTCAGATCATTATCTTATTTTCTCATATTTCTTTTCAAGAAACTTCTATTTTTCCCATCTGCCACCATCTTCAGTATAATACTTCTCCCTTCAGGATTTCTTTTATCCTTCTCATCTTTACGCCTTTCACTTTCTCTTCCCCAGACCCTTCATTCTTGCTTTTGCTTGTCAAAACTGCTTCTTCCTCCTTCTTGGGGGAAGAAGTGGGAAGGTTGGGTGGATTTTTTCGCTATGAACACCCAGGAATGCTCCAATCAATACTTGGAAACCCTGCAGAGGAGAGCTTGCACGAGTCTTTCAACACTTTTGAAATTTGCAACAGCAGTTAATGGAAGTCTGACTAATGCTTGAAAATCAGCAGCTTTATTTTAAAGTGGTGCTGTAGCTTCCCACCATTAACATTCTCAGGCCTTCCCCTACAAGCTTTTATTTTTACATTGCAGCCTCTACTCCGTGCTTTGAAACACTTGTAGCCCTGTAGAAACTCCACTCTTTCTAAATCCAAAGACACAAAGCAGATGGTGGACTCAGTCTCAGACACCACCCAGATGCCTTTAGCTCTGCCTGGATTACTGTACAAAGCAAAGGAGAGCCATAGTGCTACTCCACTCACAGAAAACCATGTCCAGGTGTACCCAGGGAGATTTCAGAAGAGCGGCGAATCCAGTTTAGCTGCAAGTGAGCGTACGTAAACCATCCTCCAGCCTGAAAGCAGGGGTTCAGCCATGGCTGCAGACATCTGTCAGGAGAGCAGCGGCTCAGCCCTGTGGTCACTGCCACCCCCGAGGGCTGGGGTAGCTTTCAGTGCCAGGGACGGATACCGGGGGGACAGATCCAGAGCCTCTTCACCCCTTCCCGATAGATGTGCCCTTGCTATGTATTCTGTTCCAAAAGGAATTTGCAGCAGTAGTTTGGGGATCTGACATTTCACTGACATTTCTTCAGGGCTTTTCGTAGCATGATTCTTATTGTCATTAGGTACCCTCACGGGTTAATGCCTACACTAGATTTAATTGTGTGCATTCCAGCTGGGGGCCAGTTTTTGCTGGGAATTCTGAACATGCAACCAACCTAGTGCCTCCATGGCCCTGTTTGAGTTGGACCTGTTCCCCCAGACAGATCACTTAAGAGGTCTGGAAAATCCTCTACAGAGCTTTTGATACTTAGAATTGACTGTTCCTGACAAGTCTACCATTTTTACTGTTTTCCATCTGCCTACCAAGGCTGCCTCATTCTTTTCAAGTATCAAAGACCACTTAAAATGTGTCTAAAGCTTGATGCCAACTTCCTAGTCCTGCTTGCCAATTCAAAAAATCTGTTGCAAAATGTATGTCAATACATTTATTCCCTGACTAAGGCAACCATGTATTACTTAATTGCTGGGGTAATCCTAAATGCGATTGAGAGGCTGATGCTGATAACAGTCTTCAGATAGAAAACAGCTTTTGTAGAGAGTATCATTTTTAGTATGATATACTGGAAACCTTTTCTTTCCTCATTGAGCACAACAGGCCTGTTTTGGCAGTCTGGGTGTGTTTCCTGTCTTGTAGCCGAAACTCAGCAATGAAATTCAGGTATAAAATCCATGAAATCAGAAATCAAGGGCAGGAAGGTTCTGACACAAGTGATCTAGGTATGAATATCTGTTCTTGCTCCTTGAGTTTCCTGGTTAGCTTTTCCTCTGCTAAGACTAAAATTGTTTTGAAATCACCGTCTGTAGATTTTATGTTTTTCTTCCCCACTGGTAAGACCTGAAGCTATTTGAGATGCTAAACAATTTACAGCTTCTGAGCTTGGTTGTGGTGCCAGCTTTGTACAGATAAATATAGAACCTGTGGCATTTTCAAAAGCCATTTGGAACAGCTCTTCAATACAAGCACTTTCAGCAGAGATTAAATATATTATTTGGGTTTTCTGCCTAAAAAAAAAAAATCACTTAAAAAATTGGCAGAAATACCATTTTCTTCCAATGAGAAAGTTCTCTTTCCCCAAATTGAGGCTGGCAATTGGCAGCTCTTTACAAAGACTTTTTTTTTTTTTTTTTTTTTCTTTCCTCTCTCTCTTTCCCTACTCCTTGATTTCAAAAAACTTCAAGGTAAAAAAGCAGGACATATCAATGTAAAAAAGAAATAGAAACTGGTTAAAATTTTTCACTCCTTGAACAGAATGCTTTACATTGAAACTAACTTGTATCAGAAAAAATCCTATCGCATTCCTACATAAGAAGTTAATACATTGCAGAAAACTGGACACACACATTCCTCAAGGATTTTGATATTCAGAAGCCCTATTAAAGAAACTGAAACACAATACAAATAAAGACCTTTATTAAAATCACTTGGAATATTATATGAAATTTAATACCATGTAATATAGGTGCAACCCCCCCAATATTAACAGGATGTGATATATGTGAAGAGAGGACATTAATATACATATAAATAGAAAAGCTAAAATATGTTTGACAGTGATATATTAAACGGCTTCATAAATGTGACCATAATTAGGAGAATATGCAATTTTGTATTCCTTAAGCAGTATCTTCTAAAGCAGTATACATAGTAAATTGCTTTTACCTCTAGTGTCTGCTTTCTTATGAGTAAAAGAAGATGTATAGGAATATTGTAGGCACATGCAAAAGCAATGTGAAAGTTATAAAAACAGAGGCAGAAGCCAGAGACTTATTTGTTCTTGGCTGCCAGAGGCTTACGGCTGATCTTCTTTGACTTGTCATTGTTCTTCTTTGGAGGTTCAGGATTTGCCTGCATGTGTCTCCCATAAAGACTGTAAGGAAATGAGACAAAGATTATTTGTGATACAACCATTAAACACAGGCTTTTACTCTGCAGCATGTTAAACAATACATCTAGTTACTATACATAAAAAAAGGAAGGTCATTATATTTATTTTGCCTCAATACACTGAATTTTCTAATAGATCTCATGCTGCAGTCCATAATATTAGGTTTTTCATGACTTATCAGGAGACTAACATCAAGAAGAGCTGGCCTTTGGAGCAGTGAAGGAGCAATCAGTTTGGCCTTCAGAAACTAGCAACCTTTAGTCTGTAGTAATGGGATTAAGGCTTGGAAAGCTGCAAGGATGTGTATTCAAGTCGACAATGACAAAAATTGGGTTGAACTGAAGAGATGGAGTGCCCACTTAGAGCAAAGTGAGCATCATCCCTAACCAGAAAACCCAAGGGCTTGATAATGTGACAGAGAGCAATGGTGTCACAGCTGCCTTTGCTGCTCACACATGATTGATAGTACTGGGACAGCTACCAACACATCAATGCCACATTAGTAAGTGCGACTGATTAAATGTTGACAAAGTATCCTACAATTAAGATGACTAGCATTCACAGCGAAGCTAAATAGACTACATGGCTGAGAGGATCTTGCTAAATATCACATAGTAATTAATAGATAATTTATGAGTAATCCTGATTAAACTAAATTAAAAACCTACCCAAAATAAACAGCTCAAATTTAACTTCCCTTATTGACAGAGAGTGCTTTTTGAAGACGTACTTCGCAGGGGTGCCAGTGCATCTAGAAGGGAACTGAGTTGAGCTTTGTTTCCACTCATTCAGCTGTATAAACACTGGCAGTGTTGACACCAATACTGGAATCCCTCTGAAAGGTGTCCCCCTGCTAATACTTCAGTCTGATGTTGGTGAGTGTCCACCCCAATCGTGTACTAGGCTGCTGCAAATCAAGTTGGACACTAACTTCTACCACTTGATAGGAATTCTGCTACTGAAGAAGATAATGGCACCAGTTCCCCTAACAGCCTTCCCTGTGTCATTGCACCTTTGTCAAGAAACAGGACAGACCAGGGGCTTGGGGTTGAGAAACTCTGAGTCTTCCTAGAATTGCCTCCTGTTGTGTAAAAATCTGGATGGGTGGCCGCCAGCACTGTTGCCACGGAACCCAGGTCCTGCATCTTCATGCGTCTGGGGCAAGCAGAAGGTCCCAGCTGTTGTAGGCGAGCTGCCCTGGTCCATCACACACACCCCTGCATGCACTCACCCACTCTGCAGTCCGTGTGTGGAGCTTGCATGTCTGCCCAGCCCTTGTTGCAAACAAGGACCAGGTACAGATCCTTTTGCTATTTTGCTTAGTCATGTTGGAACTGACTTAGTTACTCATAATACGTTGCTTATCCAGAAAGCATGATATATACATACACATACACAGTTCTGAGGTGGATATCACTCTGAGGGGGTATCTCGGAGGTAAAGCGACTATTTGCAGTGACCTCTTCTGCTCTGCAGGCTGAAACTAATTTCAGCAGAGGACAGGCCCTCCTTCTACAGGGCGTGGTGGACTACGTAGTCAACTGTATGCAGGAGACATTAAACAAGGATCGAAACAGACAGAAATACTCCTGAATTACTGTGCTATGTGCTAGCCATGGAAGGGCTATTTATGTCATATACAGAGAGATTTTAGCTAAGACATTGCTCTCTCCAGATTCCTGAGGAGGGGAGGTGGAGACGGAGGTGCTGAGCTCTCCTGCCTGGTATCCAGTGACAGGACGTGTGGGAATGGTTCAGAGCTGCACCTGGGGAAGTTTAGGCTGGACATTTGGGAGCATTTCTTTACTGAGAGGGTGGTCAAACGCTGGAATAGGCTTCCTAGAGAGGTGGTCGTTGCCCCAAGTCTGTCTGTTGAAGAGGCATTTGGACAACGCCCTTAACAACATGCTTTAACTTGGTCAGCCCTGAATTCAGGCAGTTGGACTAGGGGATCATTGTAGTTCCCTTCCAACTGAAATAGTCTGTTCTATTCTGTTCTGTTCCGTTCCATTCCACATCAGGAGGTTAAAAGCTCCTACCTGTTCTGAGCTTTATTTTGCTGTATCTGGAAGATACTTCAACCCTGGGGTTCCTGGATTGCAAAATGGGATTAGAGATTCTCATAGGGTGGGGGGTGGAAAGGCAGCGCTTGCTTTCAGGTCCTCAGCAGCTGCATTTTTACATCATGCTGCTAAGCAGGCTGCTGTCAAGGTGCACTGTACCCAAAACAGCCTTGCTCAAGGAAAATACAACTGTAAACTATGACATTACTTCACCTTACTGAAATTTTATGTGTGCTATCACCTACTGTCAAAAAGGGATCAGATGCCACTTCCTGATGAACACAGAGAGCCCTGACCCTCCGTGATAACTGCATACTTACTATTAGCTACAATACACACATTTTCCTTTTCATATGAGATACAGCCTGAACTCCACAAGGCTATATTTCATCCAAGTACACAGTATGTGTGCTAATCAAATATCCATCCTAAGTAACTGTCCTGTTTTGGAAGGTGTTAAGTGAGTTGAGGGAGGGAAGATACGGAAGGAGATGTTTTGGCATCAGGTAATACTATCATTGTGGAAGAGCACAGAAGTGTTATTCATGGAAGCTGTCCTATCAGAAACCAATCCAGGGTAGAAAAACTCAGGAAACAAGCAGCACCTTGTTCTCAATGATATGCAGCACAGCATTTGAACTACTGTCAGCAATAATTCTGTAACTCGGAGAAGTCAGCAACAGAGAAGTGAAAATGCATGTTCAAATCTGTGAACATCAATAGTTAGTTAAATGCTAAATTAACATTCAAGTTGGTTTTTGACTCTAGAGAAATAGTGCTATGTTGGAGTAGAATGTGAGTTTTTTTCATATAATAAGGAAGCCCCAATTTTGGACTTTAAACACTGAATTAACAGAGAATCCACCGATCCACTGCATCTGAGCACAAAAAAACTTAGCGGATGGGAAGAGAAGTCCCCTGTCACTGTCCTGTCTTGCACCTCCTGCTGCCCTACAGCTCCTTTGCCCTGTTAGTGCTAACCCAGAGAGGACTGTAACAGATTTAGTGTTTTTCAGGTGTTACATACCCTTTTTTTGCTCAGGTTGGTTTAGGCTCCACTTTTTTGCTTTGGAAACTGTGTATGAATTTCCCTCTCAGATGACACTTTTGGCATTCATTGTGCCCCTCACTTCCTGCTTTCTCAGTGCAAATGTTCAAGTTTGTGAACTGGTAGAGCTCAGATTAGTGAACTTTTTCTGAAGTAAAAGGGTGTGGTGGGAATACTACTGACTACACCGATGCTTTTGAAGTGCAGAAACTGAATATTGACAATCTTGAATGAACTTCAGAGTTCTGGTAAAGTCTGCTTGGGCAAGGCCTTTTGATTGCAAAATGAGGTCCCGCAGCCACTGCATGTGTTAAGCAATAAAAATCCCAATTGACCTGTAAATATTTTTGGTAGCAGTTTTTCTTTTATATTTGCTCCTTATGATATTCAGTGCTATTGGTACTCCAGCAATTCCCCCCACCTCATGGAAATACTATGTTAGTAGCAGTAGATGTGCATGAATTGAAGACGTCTGTAGTACTTTTATATTCTTTTTACTTAGTCTCATGTCCAACCACTTCTGCTGGCACATACACTGAAGTTTCATTCAGGAAAATAATTATTGGGTTTGAAATAAACAAATCAAATATATCTACTTAGGTTTCTCTGGCAAAATTTCAAGGAAGTTTCAGCTGCACATTGCTATCACAGTTGAAGAAAAGTGCTTTACAATCTAACACAGCAGTTTGCTACACAAAGAGCAAGGATCAGACGTTTTTAGATTATACAAGCCTTCACAGACAAGAACTCTCTCTTGTGTTTGCACACATCAAATATGAGGAGACATATGGTGCCAAAACAACATTTAAATACAATAATGACTGTGATAATGCCTCTGGGACAGAATTTGCCTTCTGTTACACTAGGGAAAAGAGAATTCACAATTTTCAATGAACTTCTGGCACAACAACAGACATCACTTTCATAGCTCCCAAGAAAAAAAAAATAGAAGAAAAAAAAAAAAAAAAAAAAGAAAAAACCTAATGGAGCTGTTCCACATGGGAAAGTAACTATCTGAATTACATGAGAACCTATAACCCTTTGGCTGTAATAGAAGTGGAGTTTACATATACAGTCCATAATGATTTTGGTACCTACTGGAAGGATACAGCCACAGGAACCATAGGTTGCATGTCACTGTCTGTCAGCCAAGCTGTACTGTGTACATGCTCTTGCTCTGGCATCACTGTGAAGTCAAATGTGTTAGGCAGAGACACTCGCACACCGTCCTTGGCAGCAGAGGTCGGCTTAAGACACACACATGGACAGTTCTGCAGCTCAGCTGATGGATGGTAATGTACAAGGAGTTGGCACCCTGACATACCTGGTTGTATGACTAGACCCTTAGTGAAGGCAGATGGTTTCCATAAACAGGCAAGGGAATATTGGGGCAGATTGTGGCTACTGTTTCAGGGCAGATTTGTGAGATAAGTGCTGATAATACATTGACGGCAACATCTTCACACTTGGATTTTGGAACGTCACCTGTTCATGGGGCTGGTATAGCTCTGAGGAGGACACTGCACACAGCTCACAGACCAAAACCTCAGCTAAGTAATAAAATATGGAGCGTAAATAAATGTTTGAGATGTCTGTGGTTTGCAGCAACAGTCAGAAGATATTTGTTATCACCACAGTTCACAAACTGCTGAACCTTTGAACACTTAGCAGCTGCAGTATTGCATGCAGCCTACTCATTGTTAGGGTGAAAAGGGAGATTAAAAGCAAGACTGAAAATGCAGAAAGCCCTCACATAGAGATTTCCAGTTGCTTTCTTTCCTTGTATATTTTTCAAAGCAAGTATCTCTCATGAACATAAATGTTTTTTTGTATGCAAATATAAACATAAACAAAATCTCCCTGCATTCTCT